AGCTTCTATCCCGTGACTTTGTCTGCGTAAATCATAGGCGATTTAATCAGTAAATTCCTACAACGCTTTATTGAAGTTTGATCAGCTTGAAAAATATTAAAATTGATTAAAAAAAAAATATAACCTCGGAGAAGCGGTAACTGTGCATAAAAAATAAATATCCGCCGAACAAAGACCTTCCTTGTTTTTGATTTGGAATCGGTATAAAGTACTACGATAATGCTGTCCTAATTATAACAGCTCTGCCCGGGTAAAATTCAACATGCACAGAAATGCAGCCGATGCGCGCGCTACATCCACCCTGTTGCACTTTAGGCCCGGGCCGGCAATTGATAATGTGCGTTCATTGGAGTCAGTCCAAATTGCAGTAGTCTCATTTGAATGAATTGGAAGATTTTGTTTCGACTTTTATTTGAAAGAAGTGCAGTTATCAAATTACATTCAATATTTCACCATTAAAGATTTCTTTTTGGATTCTTATTTAAAAACAGTGCAGTTATAGCTTTTAATTCAATATGATTAGTTCATAATCGTGTTTATTTTTAAAAGGTGATAAAAAGAAATTTACTTATTACTGGGTGAGTAATACATTTTTATGTTATAAAGTAAAAATAAATAAACAGTATTTTTAGTCACCTTAAATTACCGAGGACCTTTATGAGTGTTTCTTCTTGCGCAATAAAACTATAAATTTATAGCTTCTATCCCGTGACTTTGTCTGCGTAAATCATAGGCGATTTAATCAATTAATTCCTACAATGCTTTTTTGAAGTCTGTTCAGCTTGAAAAAAGATTAAAATTGATTAAAAATATATCGTCGGTAAAGCCGGTAACTGTGCATAAAAATAAATATCTGCCGAACATAGAACTTCCTTCTTTTTGATTTCGAATCGGTTAAAAGTTCTTCGATGATGCTGTCCTAATTTTGACAGCTCTGCCCGGGTAAAATTTAACATGCGCAGAAATGCAACCGATGCGCGCGCTGCATCCACCCTGTTGCGCTTTTGACCCGGGCCGGCAATCGATAATGTGCGTTCATTGGATTCACAGTCCAAAGTGCAGTAGTCTCACTGAGTGAATTGGAAGATTTCGTTTCCACTTTTATTAAAAAAAAGTGCAGTAATCAAATTACATTAAATTTTCACCATAAAAGATTTCTTCTTGGATTTTTATTTAAAAACAGTGCAATAATAACTTTTAACTGAATTTTATTAGTTCATATTCGGGTTTTATTTTTCAAAAGTTTTAGAAGATGATAAAAAGAAGTTTACTTATAACTGGGTGAGTAATACACTCCTTTGTTATAAAGATTTAAAAAAATTAAACAGTTTTTTAGTCACTCTGAATGTCCGAGAACCTTTGTGAGTTTTTCTTCTTGCACAATAAAACTAGAAGTTAATAGCTTCTGTCCCGCGACTTTGTCTGCGTAAATCATAGGCGACTTAATAAATCGATTGCTACAACGCTTCATTGAAGTCTGATCAGCTTGAGAAAAGATTAAAATTTATTAAAAAAAATATAACCGCGGAGAAGCCGATAACTGTGCATAAAAAATAAATATCCGCCGATCATAGAACATCCTTCTTTATAATTTGGAATCGGTTAAAAATATTGCGATGATGCTGTCCTAATTTTATCAGCTCTACCCGGGTAAAATTCAACATGCGCAGAAATGCAGCCGATCCTCGCGCTTCATGCATCCTGTTGTCTTCTGGCCCGGGCCGGCAATCGATAATTTGCGTTCATTGGAGTCATGGTCAGAAGAACAGTTGTGACGTTTAACTGAATTTAAAGAGTTATTTTTCGACTTTTAATTTAAAAAATTGCAGTAATAACGTTTTTACTATAATAACAATTTAACTATAAGCTAATAGCCGCTGTCTCGCGACTTTGTCCGCGTAAATCATAAGCGATATATTCTAATGATCGCTACAACGCTATAGCTACAGTAAAGATATATTACAGTATTGTAACTGAATCTTGTTACTTTTTTTATTGGAGGCTTTTTATTTATAGACACGGTAAATATTTGTTACAGTATTGTAACCTGAGATCTTCATTGAAGTCGATTCAAGTTCTTTGTAAATAAAGTCCCATGAAGTTCAGTAGTCTATTAAAGATGAATGGAGTCCATTGAAATCGGATAGAGTGGAATGAAGTCAATCCTATTAATATTATAAAGGCGAAAGTTTGTAAGTATGGATGTATGGATGTTTGTTACTCTTTCACGAAAAAACTACTGGACGGATTTGGATAAAACTTTACAGCAATATAGGTTATACATCAGAATAACACATAGGGTACTTTTTACTGGGAAAACTTCTCACTCCCACGGGATACCGACTTCCACGCGGACGAAGTCGCGGGCGTCCACTAGTTGTTTATAAATGTCTACATCATGTTGAATTTTATATTCTTTTAATTTTTTAACTTATGAAGGATAAAGTATTTTTTGTTTATATTACGTTTAACACGTAAATACACGTAGCTACCCTAGCAATAAGGCCGCCTCTTGCATATATGTTCATTTCTTTTTGTTTTATGTATTTGTTTTTATTGCAATAAAGTATTAATGATCATGCTTATATCATTAATATGGAGTCCCAGACCAGATAGCTATTCCAATTAGAAAAAGTTAATATTATTTATATTAACTTTGAAGTTCTCACAGTTCTTTTCAGGGTCTGAATGCGTCTCTATGAATTTCATTGATATTTGCATTAACACACGTGTTACAAACTGTTATAGCAATGATTGCAGCTTTTACCAAAACATGCAATTCTTTGTGTAAAGTGAAGTCAGGAGATCTGTCGTATCTGTCGGACTTGGGCTCGCCATTGAAATGCACACACGTTTTTAGAGGTTAATTTCCATGCTGTTCTGAATGATCATTTTGGACGAGGATTATTATGACGAATACAGCAAATATCCTTAGATAGAATTCCCGGCTGACTTTTGAAGTCCTGCTTCATGATTAACAATCAACATCATCCCTCGGCATCCTAGAATTGGACATTATTTACGTCCACTCACTATAGCTTTTCAACTACGGCTACCACAGTAGGCTCCTAAAAGTATCTTAGTCACTTCATTCCATCTCGCGTATTTGGCCGTGGTCCTCTCGCGCTGGACAAGGACGACAGCTGAACTGAAGCTGAATGAATTTTATTTCGTTGAAGTTATTTATACCTAAAACCTTTCAAGATTTTGGATATCTTTCTGCTGCAATCGTAACACGCACACGTGTAAACACACGTTATATTTCCAAATTCATGACAAAAGAGCATGTAATGTTACATAACATGCCATTACATGTCTGTTTTATTGACAGAGCCCAATAATTTTTCCTGTTTTTATGCACACTTATTAAAAGTTGCGGGTTGTTTATAATATATTTGTCACATAATGCGTTATCATTTATATTTATTATTGTTTATTTATACTTGTACTATTTATACAATTGTGATTTTATCTATATATTATTTTCAATAGTGTCTTTCTATAAAAGAAGCTAATTGTTTCAATTGATTATTTGCAATAAACACGTATCACAATATTGCAAAGCATTTTGTCATTATAAATATTTTTTCCTGATCTTAGGGTATAAAAACATCATATAATAAAATAAATAAAACCTTTTTTTTGTGTTTTTATGCTCAGAATAACATAAAGAGATACGATAGTCTGAAAAATATGATACTGTAATATTATTGATGATAGTTATGCTTTATAATAAATAGGTTTGCTGTGATTATACAAAATTATGGTTCTATTACTATTTAATATTCATTACATTTCTGGAAAAAAACATCAAATCTATGTTCAGTCAATCATAATGAAGAAGTAATTAAGTTTATTTTCTCTGCTTTTTACCCGACTTCAAATTCCAAAAGGAGGTGGTTATGAGTTCGATGGCGATGTATGTTTTTTTTATATGTTCACCGTTATTTCCGTCAATTGTCGATATTCAATTCAATTTTGTTTTTATACGATAGATTGATTGACTGAAGTGGTTCCATTTAATTTTTATTAAAATTAAAACAGGTATTTTCTCTTTAAAACACAACAAAATACTCTTTTCACTAAATATCACCTAAATAATAATATATGTATAATAATAAATAATGACATTTCAGCTAAAAAAGCAAAAGATTGCGTATTTTGAATTCGTTTAACACCAGGGTGGCCAAGTGGATTTTTTAAGCATTTTATATCCGAAGGGAGGATTTTCTGAGATCAAAGAGTATGTATATTTTTTATGAAAGAATGGATGTTCATCGTTTCTTTTTGAATTAACAAACTAGCTTTTTACCTGCGATTGTGCCTGCGTAAATTATAGCCTTTGTCCCACACGTATTAAGAAGCTTCCCGTAGATGAAAGACGTTTGTAAATCGGTCTAATAGTTTCGGAACCTATCCAATGCAAACAAAAAGCTTTCCAATCTTTCATCTTTATAATAGATCGAACATAATAAACAAAATCACCTTTAAAAATGTTCAACATAGTGAAAGTCTTAGAACTTTTTAATATTTCTATTTTATACTTTGCATAGAAAAATATCAATATCACAAAAAAACATGAACCAATAACTAATTTAATTTATCTCCACCCGACTTCAATAGCATTTACTTGAATAAGTCGCTTTTGAGATGAATATTATTTATCACTTTTTTAAAGGTTGAAGTTGGTTCTATTTTTGAAAAAAGATTTTATAATTAACTTTCTAATATCGGAGATAAATAAAAAAAGATGTACATAAATACGTAACATGCTTTATACTGTAACTGAGGCGGTGGTTTATGACTACAGATTTTTATTACTGTTAATATGAACAGTAAAATTGAACATCAAATTGTCACATAATATTATCTAGTATCTGTTTTCTTTATTCGATTATCTTTCTATATTACTTATATTCGTTTAGTTATTTAAGCTTGCGTTTCACAATCAGTTTAGTAATTACCAACTTTCTGGTAAAGGGAAACCTATTTTGGCAACAGAAGGGGATACGGTGATGCACTTGAAGGTGTTGGAGGTGCGCAAAGATCCTGCGCCAGTGAATGATCACGATGTGCCGGTGCTGGTGGCTTCTGTGGGATTGCCACGCCCGGGAAGGGTGCGGCGCCAACGGCAGACGCCGCCGGAAGGCACCCAACAACAGAACCAGGAGCATCTCGATGTCGAAGACGAAGAACCTTTTGAAGTTGATTTGAACGCCGATTGGGATCTTACTACCAGACAGGTAATGTGGGGCTTTTTTATTTTAAAAACTTCTGATTTCATTTACTCAGCTGCAATAACTATAAAACAACTTTGACATCCAAAGAGTATACGCAAGATAATTGTAAATAATAAAATTTTGGGATATTTAAAGTGATTTTATAGTAATTTCGAGAAGCACTTAATAAATATTATATTCGATGTGCTTCGTGTTTTCTTTAACGTGTTTAATTTCATCTTTTCTTTTTATATTATATCATATGTACTCTATTGCTGTAATATATATCTGCGATCAATTTTGAACTCTAACATCAACTTCCTAAGGTTTTTATTTTAATTGTAGCAATTTCATAATTTTGTATAATTCAATGTCTATCTGCTGCCTATCAATAATAATTATTCTGTTTTGAATTTACAAAAGTATATTTGATTTTTATTATAACAATATCTTTTTTTTTTTATGCACGAGAGATAAAATAGTTTACAATAAATAAATGCAGTAATTTGTAAATTCATAATAGAGTTCCTTTTTTATCTACCTTGTAATGATATTATACGGTCATATAATGGATGGTAGGATTTTATTTTACAAAAGATGGATATTATGTATATTATATTACGTTGGTGTTTAAGGGAGCGCATAAACTAAATCGCAAATGGAATATAAAATGGAATTAAATTAAATGCAATTTAAAATTCAGTAAGTTCGATTGAACTACGTAATTAGTCGGAATACTACGTAATTTTTTAATTGCATTTAATAACATAGCCCAGTGGCTAAAACGCTAATTAAAACATTCCATTACGTCAAATTTGTATCGGTAGTGTCGCTTTAAACTAATGGTAATTTTAGTGGACGTATGTCCAACTCGCTGTTTATGTTAAGTTTTTTAAATAAATTCTGAAATTTTGATCTTATGAAAATAATTTTTGAACAGCCTTTGTCATCTATCTCATTGGAAGAACTCGCGATTTTGTATTGTTTTCTCTTAAAGATTATGCGCACTCTTAATTGTTTGTTAATTGTATAGAGTTACCAATCGAATGAAGTTGTTAGAGAGACTGTTAATAGTTTTCGATGTTTTATAGGTTATATTACATGTGCCCCGCTGTGACATTATTAAAAATATAGTGAATTTAAGATTGCTATCAAATCTTGTATTACCCACTGTTTAAAAAAAGTAATATTCGCTTTAAGGTGCTATGAATATGAAAACAATTTTCCATACAACGTCCGTTGATGATCAAATATAATAATTACCAAATATTTTTTAACCACAAGTTCTACTATTTTTTAGGCTTCCGTACTTCAAAAGGAAAAAAGTTAATTTTAAAGTATCACTTGTCCATTTGTCTGTCGAAACTGTAACATTACTTTGGTTATAGCATTAAAGTTTATATGAAAAAAATACGGTTGTTTACCTCCAAAAAAAAACGCGTATATCGAGACTCAAGGGAACTAAAATCTAATATTGGTACAGAACCCAAATATCACAGGTCCGAGTCCCTCTTGGCCAGTAAATTAAGCAAAACCCATATTAGAAAATAATTATGACTAAACTGTTCATGTACCTCATTTTTGGGGCAGCAAATGTAATAACGCCCAAGGCACTTTATCTCAAAATATAACTCTTGTTTTAATATAAAAGGTACATTGAAATCACAGCGGAGGCGGTGTTTATGTGTTCTTCGTAACTGTAATAGACCTTGCTGTTGCAGAGCATTTCTTTTTCAGGTGCTAATATTTTAAACAATAACAAGTGTTTCTTCTCTTATACTGTATCTTTTCCTTGTTTACAGCTATTACCCTACATTAATGGTTACAACCACATCTCAAAAATAGCGGCCGACACAAATGTTGAAAAAACGCTTGTTAAATCGTGTATACAGAATTTAGTCTATTACGGAGTGGTAAGTGCGACCACGGATTGGGCCAGTGTTGTTGCCATAGCTATAGTTTTACTATCGATATGTGATTTTATAAAAAATAACAACAATATAATAAGAAAATAGAAACTATATGTTTTTCTTAATAGTGTCGATCGTATAAACATAATTTGTCCCTCCTCTATTAATTCCCTCACTACTGGAACTTACAGGCCTTTCTTTTGGATGAAAACACATAAGAAGAATTGGCGGTAACCTATCGTGCTGATATGATACGGATTGGTGGGTGTTGACCACTGTAGATGCATCTGTGACCATTCGTTTTAACGTGCTCTCCGTAGCACGACGCTTGAGATAATAATCTTGGTCATCCAGTGTTGAAGACATGCCCTGCGATTCTGTAAAAATTAAAACCCGAATTCAAAATCATTCAGGTCTCCGAATTCACTTCAAAAAGTGGTATCCGCTCAATCTTGAATTGGTAATAACGTTTCGTGGCATAAGTGAAGTGAGTTTCGAAATGACATAGGAATAGAATATCTGAGACACGTATGTTTTGTATTTTTTTTACAAAAGATGGAATAATTGAATTTCTATACTAAATGACGCTAATTCGGACACATGAGGGAATTCTAATTCAGGTCTGGATTTTTATAGAATCGTAATGAAATTTATAACCAATATTTTCAGTTTAAATGTCATTTACAAATTTAGAATATGAAAATAATCAGAACTTCAGTTCAGCATAAAATGTTCATTAGTTCTCTTTACAAAATTTCGTGGTACCCTGGCCTCACCTTTACCGTCTGATAACCGAGTGAAGTCGCTTAACTTTCGCTATTGCATCCAGAAGGCACTAACCGCTCCACCGGCGACCTCATCTGATACTTACAAATTGCGACGTTATCAATATAATAGACTGCTATTGATAGGATGGACTGTAAAAGTACCTATTATTGACAAACGATATTGTTATTTTTTATATGAGTACCAAAAGCTATCAATTCAGTGTCTAAGTCACAATCACAATAGTAATCATAATACTATCGATAATTTATATTTGTCGCAACAACACTGGATTACCATGCTTCAGTCGAGTGACTGTTCCTTGGTTACTTGATTTTTCTTGTAAGATTACGGTAACGATGAATAACTAATTTAACAACTACATAATATTAGTTGAACTAGTCGTAGATGTTTCTCCGAATATGATTAACTATCGAAAGAAATACGATTTAATGCAGTTTTCATGCAGGTTTTGTTTTAATTATGATTCTTAAAGATATCGTTACATAATAATAATATCGCTTGTAGATAATATTTAATGTATGAGCATGCCAATGAAAAAAGAATAAATGTTAAATGTTTTCAAAATTATTCCTGTTTAGTGCTGTCGTTATAATATATGATATTTGTATGTACTATTATAATATAAGGATGCTTCATGTTTTAAAGTTTTGTTCAATTCATGTTAAATGTATTATATCTTATCTTTTTTTACATAAGAGTCAATTTCTTCCAAATTAAGGTTTAAATCGAAACCCTGAAACCCGCTATTTACCTACTTACTGTAATATTATAACAAACATGTCTCTAATACATTTTCAGATTTCTTACATTCGTCAGTGAGACTGTTGATTAATTAATGTTTATGGGTTACAAACTAATTTTAACGTTTGATGCTTTGAAGATTATGCTGATGTTATAAAATCATGTTAATTATGTTATTTCAATTTAAAATATGTTTTTTTAATTCTAGGTCACTCTTATACCAGTGCTTAAATTCAGCAACATGTATCGCGCTACACCGAATCTCAGTAGACTGTTCAGTGACAACGAATTACAAAAGTCCTGTCTCACTTTCATCACCAAGGGATCTGACGCCAAAGACAAGGTAAGCTCATTGATGTTTGATTAACAATCATTATTATATTAAAGTCAAAGTGACTTTCGGTAATTTCCCATGATTATTGGTTTTTTAACTTAACCTAACCATGCAATGTTAGAAACGTTGTCTAAACGACGTAGCGAAATAACATACCCGTGACGTCATCTGCAGGTAGAAAATAATTTGTCCGAAAATTACTAATATTCATTTTCGCTTCACGATACTCTACTGGATGTATTTTATGTGTATTTTAGCCAACACTCTCGGACGTCCTGGAAATCTTGTGCTCGTTACAGCAAGGCACTACGTTGCGCGATGTATGCGAGAGATATTCCAACTTCTCCGTTCCCACCTTCGATATTCGGCGACTAATTGTCTTCGCACAGCTACACGGCCTCATTAAATGTCTTAAAAGGTATGCTTTTTAAATCGTGTACTATACTTATGGTTAGAATACATAATAACAACTATGATTTTTCAAATTCAAACAAACTCATATCTAATCACACTAAATTTAAAGTTATCAAATATTTACTTAGTTGTTTATATTTAAATTTGTTTGCCTCTAATTGAAATAAACCAGATCCATTGTCGAATTCATGAAAATTTTAAAACTTAAATTGGGAAGAGAGGATGAAGTTATCATGTGGGACAATAAAATAGATTATACTTTGATTTATAACATAAAAAAGATGATATAAAACTAATGCTCCATATAAACAAATTTACTGGAGTATTCACAAATTAGGTTTAAAATATGAATCTGTAGAAATGTTTGAACAAATTTGGTTGTTCAGTAATATTCCTTATCAACTATTTGTCTCATTCGAAGATGAATTGTTTCACAGGTACCCAGTCTACATCAGGCACCCCCCTCGTCCGAATGGCTTTTCAAATCGCGTAGACTCCATGCTAGGTATTCGAAGGCTATTCACAGGGAAAAATTGCACCGACGAGATCTGCTGTATGGCTCGCATTGATTTACCCACCTTGGATCAGATCATAGAGGATGATCCTAATGTGTCAGTCATATGGAGGTAGAATAGAGCAACCCTGCTCCGTAATATTGGAGCTAAATATCATTGAACAATCCTATACTTGCATTTTAGAATTAAGTCTCTTGTGTATATCGTTGAAGGTTGGCTGGTGTGATTCAAAATGTGAAACTCAACAAATGTTCTGAAATATTAACACCCCACTTACTTCCCAATTATTTTTTATTACGCACAATCAAAGACAAAATTTCTCATTGAGCGAAAAAATTGTTCACTACTCGTTGTCGTCACACTAAAATATCCACATAGTGAAATTCGTGTTAGGGCTCTTATGGAAATTCGCTATGTTGTTATTCTGTGATGACCACAACGCGTTGTAAACTGTTTTTCGCACAATGACCTCGATTTGATCGAATGATTTCGATTTTTGAGCGTAATATATATAAAATGTAAGAACAAATAGATTTGCGTTATAGTTTCTCAATATTTTACTTAATTGATTTTAAATATATTCAGTTTTTTTTTAATAAATATTCTGGATAAAAATATGACATTTTATAGTACAATACCATTTTATAGAATTAATCATTGCAAGCTATTTAACTTTTGTATCAATGTAACAGGTAGATGTCTTTTAAACTTATATTGTATATACGTGTATTCACTTTTTAATACAAATTTTATCTATCGGTCTCTAATGCGTAACAAAGCCGAACAAAAACGTCACGATACAGCCAAACCTCTAATTCGTGATGGGTTATGTATGCATGATATGATTAATGTTTATATGTGATATTTATTACTAGCATAAGTTGTAGGCGGGCTTACATTTTGATCCCAATAAAATAGAGATCTACAGTAAGATAAAACTAATGTGCCCCATCAATGTAACTACTCAGAAAAGTTTATTTAAAAATTTGGCCATAAATGAATAAGTGTGCTATTAGGCAATCTCAACGCCTGACTAAGGCCGAGTATGAACGATGAATACCCTATTTTACGTTATACGTTTTAATTAGCAGGTCTGATTTGCGTCAACGAAGAGTCACCATGCGCCTTAGTTGGATCTTACTGTAACAAAATGCATTGAAGAAGGTAGTTGAATCTTAAACCATAATTGTTCTCTTAACTAAAGATCATTTTATGTATCATTATCTTTTTTAATGTGTTTTTGAAAGGTTTTTTCTTGTTTTTTTGTGAAATTATCGTTGTTTATTAAACATTATTTCAGAATGTATGCCCGGTTGATCCCCAGTGCTGGTCTCGTCTCATATTTTCTCAGTGGTCACTTGGTTCCCGTTACGTTTTAGTGTTAGTTTAATTTGGAAAAATATTTTTTTTTTTTAATAATTTAACCACCAGTCTACCAGTTTTTATAAGAAAATGTAACTGTGTGCAATAAGTAAAACTTTATTTCAGTTCACGCCCAATAACTTATAAGTATTTAATGCTATAAAATATATATTAGAGAGAGATATATTATACAGGGCGATAATAATGAAAGCCAAACTACCCCAAATGTTAACATAATACTACATATAATCGAATCATTCGCTTTTAAAATATATTCATCGTAGACAGCTGTATATATGCTTGATACATTTTAAGTGTGTTTCATCGAGCTTTCCATTTGCATAATTGGCTACTTGAAAGTTTTATAAAATACGTTTTAAAACATGCTAAATAAATAATAGGCTGGGGAAAAAGTCTTCGCATTTAGTATGCATAAAATTGTAATATTTTTTTTCTGGCTATACCATTTGTATCTGGCTAATTTAGGTATCATTAAAAAGTTTAAATATGTTAAGAAGATAACTCTGGATTTAAATTAGAGAAACGTGTGATTCCAATTTGATGCTGTCAAAATGAGTGAATCTAATTAAGAAATTCGATACATTTTAAAATTTTATTACAAAGAAGTTAATAATACAACGCTAGCCGCGAAAAAATCTGTGATATTTATGAACCTAGTGCTGTTTCTGTCAGAGTAGCACAAATTTGGCTTGAGCGTTTTCAGTCCGGAAATTTTGATGTCAACATGCAAGTCGCTCCGGTCGACCTGTTACGGATAAAATGGATGCCATTTTTGAAAAAGTGTAGCAAGATCGGCATGTCAGTAGTTACGATGTATCTGAAGAACTGGGAATTGACCGCAAAACAGTTTTGGTGCATTCGAAAAGAGCTGGCTACACAAAGAAGTTGGATATTTGGGTATCTCACTACCTTACTGAAAGAAACCTTGTACTCATTTGTGATTATTAATTAAGGCGTAATGAAACCAAACCATTCTTGAAAAAGTTAATAACTGGTGATGTAAAGTGAATCACGTACGACAAGAACGTGGAAAAAGGTCGTGGTCAAAGGTCTGTCAAGCATCACAGACAGGCGAACCTAAATTAACTCGCAACAAGGTGATGCTGTGTGTATGGTGGGATTGAAGGGCCTTATTTATTATGAATTGTTACCGCCAGGCAGGACCATCAATTCTGAAATCTACTGTGAACAACTGATGAGATTAAAGTAAGCAGTTAAGAGAAAGCGGCCAGAATAAATCAATTTGGGGTGTGGTTTTTCAGCATGATAACGCTATACTTCACACATCTTTTGCCACTTAGCGAAAATTAAGAGAGTTGCAAGAGGTGTTAATGCATCCGCCGTATAGTCATGACCTCGCATCTTCAGATTTCCCACTGTTTCGGTCTCTTCAGAATTCTTTAAGCAGTCTCAGGCTAAATCACGCGAGGGCATTTAAAACTATTTGTGCCGGTTTCTTGATCAGAAGACCCAACATTTCTACAGCAATAAAATTATGTCCCCACCAACAAAAAGTTATCGAACAAAATGGTACCTAAATACTTTAGTTAAATATAAGTAAACTTTATTTAAAAATGTTTTGAATTTTCATATGAAAAGCGAAGATACTTTTTCCGCAACCCGATATGTTGTTATAAATAAACCATGATTAATTTTCATCCAAAAGGACAATGTATGGGGAAGAAGCCGACGCCTGGCGCCCACAAAATGTTAATCACATTATAGGTATAAATTAGTAAGTGAATACTGCATATGGGGCATCATCAAGAGCGATGGCTAAATGTGTGATATAGCTTTTCAAATTTTGACTGAGATCAGTATACATGTAATAATAAAAGAAGAATTATAAAGAACTTGCGATTTTTTGTAGCCACTAAAAATATACGTGAATTGGGGTGGGGGAGTAGAGATGGGGGAGTTAGTCTTAATTCTCACCAAGGAGGAGGAAAAAAAAATCTGGAAAAACATCACGTGATTAATGGACGGCCCCTTAGTGAACGATTACACGTACCACAAGTGTCCATTTTCACTACCGATCAATCGATAAGCAAACTCGGGATCCAAAACTGTAGCAATAGTCGTAATTACTAAAATCAGATAACCAAATAAAGCAAGAAACACGCAGGATCTCCTTTTATTAGTACATTGAATACTAACCCATGTGCAGTATTTACTTACTCATTTATACCTATAATATGAGTTACATTTCGTTTGCCCCGAACCTGTTTTTTTTTGAGCATTGTATTTTTATAATTTTATTGAAGGATAATTTTAAAATTTTTCGTGGTGAGGATTCAATACTGTAAAACGCTAGGTCACGGTCTTTCACTTACTATGACGTCACGACATTAAAGATATACAATCTTTTGCGTCCAGAAGAAATGTATTAACCATCTTTAACGAGCTTTTACTAAATCGTGCAGCGTCAATTAGTGGAAGTATGCCGATAAAAATCCAGATAAACTAGTATTACATATTCCTAAATGTGTAAAACTTCAAAATTATGTTGTAAATATTCACTGTCAACAGCATTGTTTAAAACCACCAAATGTCATGGAAAATTATATGGATATTGATTCATATCATCACGCCGATATAACAACAATGACAATTTGAATAGTAAGCAATCTAACTTGATAATATTTTAATACCCTATACAAATTTCCATTCTCATTTTCATCCATTTCTTTGATGTTTTTCTGGATAAAACATAACCTATGTTCACCACATATCAGCTTCTCGTAGGTGAAACAATTTTAAAATCGGTCCAGTAGTTTCAAAGCCGCTTTAGCGCTGCCGCACTTAGAATAAATCGTATTTATGCTCGAGTGCAATCTCGTTAAACTCGCGAGATCTCGCACGAGTTCCAATCTTGCGAGATTGCCTTCCCTATATCGACCCTGGAAAGCAAACACGAAGTAACCCACAAAACCAAAATTGTTCTTAAGAACAGAAAAGCTTTTATTTTTTCGATAAATAATTCCTATAAACGTCCATGGTAACAAATAAGGTGTTCCTTAAACAATTTATAAGGAAATAAGATATTTTATTTTGGAAATAATATAAAAATTTTCCATTTTAAATATCCATTTTGGTTTTGCAGGTTACTACGTGTTTGCTTTAAAGCGTCGATATCTATCTTATTAAAACAGATTCGTAATAATGTTTTAACTGCATTAACCGCTTGCCCATTGTGGCGTGACGTCTTGCCATGTTCTGGCCATATAACGACCGCTTGCTTTGCGTTTTATATAAACCGCTTACCAACTAATTAAATTAATTTTTCAAAAGTAAAATAGATTTTTTAAATGTGAAAGATAAATTGCATATTTTTTTTAACCTTTAAACTATAATTTCCAGTACCTTTGTTACGTCAAATAGCCAATTCCGGGAATTCGATGAGTAAAGGTGTCTATACATTACAATGACTCAACATCGATCAAACTTTGGGCGTTTTATATCTAGTGTTATGTACGATCGAATTTTTAACTTTTATAAGAAGAATAGGGATGATGACTGGGTAAAAAAAATGCAATTCTATTTAGTCCGTCAGTCAGATAATAGAAAAATATTAGATACGTATTTTTTTTTACTTCAATTTAACAAAAAATAGCTTAGATAACAGGCATTAAAGTTGAGGAGTGGGGGCTCGCTACGTCACAGTTGAGTAGAAAACGTACCCTAACGTGACGACATGCGAAATTTCAACTCCATGTAACGCCGTAATTTTGTGATTACGAAAAAAATAAAAAAATAATTGTTAATTGACCATTGAAAATTGTAACATAATAAGCGGCACAAAACAGTATAAATTTATCTATATGTAATACTGCGATTACAGTCAGAGTCGAGTGTAATGTGTGAACTTCTTGATTCGATCACTGCAGCGCTCACAAGTTATCACAATCCGCTGCTAAAGTTTGTAATTTTAATGCTGGAATAATAAAACATTTATGTAAACGTAGGAAGATTGCAATTTGTGTAGTAGATTTTATATGTTAACTTGGAAATTTATATCAACGTAGTATAAAATGGAACATAAAACGTTTGGGGTGGGCATCTTTGTTGTAAAAATATGCGAAACAATTTTATATACTTTCTTTTAGTAGATCAAAAGTATCGGGTTTTATAAAATAAATAATTAATGTTTTGATTCTTTAAAAATCAACTCGTTACGGCACTTGCAATAAAAATAATGTCACATTGTGAATGTAAAACAATAGTGTCTCAATTGGGGTCTTTAGTGCTCAGAGATGATTTTACCGCTTTGTTGTCTGTTTATATATGTAACTAAGTAGCTTTCCACCAGCAACTTTGCCCGTGTGGGCGCGTTTTATACATATGAATCTTCCTTCTGGATCACTCGTATTTGTTGTTAAAAACACATTATCACGTATAGTGTTTGGTACGTGGCTTGTCGTAACTACTGGCTTCAGCAGAATACCAGTACAGTACGTTCCGTTTGCTCACTTGTCCTGAACTGATGCCGGCCTTCACAACACATCATGATACAGTTTGTTTGATAATCTTGTGTTTGTTATGTCTCGCGGTCACCGGTTCACTCAGCTCGCACAATTACATGCATCACACGTATGGACATACTCGCATACACTTACACAATCATATTTGTATTGTGTGCGTGATATGAATACGCTGTTAAAAACTATCAAACTAGATGAGTAGATGAACGGAAAAATAAAATTGAGCGGATTATATGTTCCTATATTTGAAACAAAACATTGTAACTAAAAATATTTAAAAAGGAACTTCTAAAAAGCTTGTTAAAGTGAAAAATAATACTTATATTTGATGAACTTCGCATTCACAATGCTATATTGAAAAATATTATTAATATAAATGTTTAGAAATCCACTTGGTCCCTGGCATCCTGAGATGGGATGAAGCATTTTTCTTTAAGAAAATTTTTCAGTATAGTATTATAAATGCGAAATGATCAAATATAATGTTAGAACTAATTTTTTATCATTATCGAAAGTTTGCTTGAGGGATTCGTCAGTGCTGTTAGGTCCTGGGTGGCTCGGTGGTTAGAGCAGTCGCCTGAATTGCGAAAGGTCATGGGTTGAAATCCCATCTCAGGGTGCCAGGGACCTAGTGGGATTCTTAAGTATTTATCTTTAAAAAAAATACTTATAAAAGAGTCGGTTAATTAATCAGAGGAAATTAACAAATTATAGCAGACATTTTTTCAATAATAGTAAAGCAACTCATTTCATTGTATTATAAATTCACTTTTACTATTAACTTATGTCAATGGGATGTGTTTGATATTCGGGAGATATCGAAGTTTTTGCAAGTGACCCGGATCTTTTGCTCGTCAGTATATTTTAAGTAACTTCGATTGAACTCGGCAGTTAATATTAATAACGAATTTTCACACATCTCTGACATTTTGGGCTAATTTTCTTTCCGGATATTTTATAAACATATTAATAACATAGCGGTTAATAACATAAATAATAAACTCAAATTGTGAAATCTAAATTACGATAACATTAGGACCCGAAATCTCCAATATTAAATATTTGCGGTAATTCATTTCGGTCAGGGTAAATAACCGAGATATATCTGTTAATAATCGATTTGGATAACGGTTTTTACTAATTATTTATTTTGTGTCATATTATTAAGTATTTTTTCACGTCATTTGTGGGGCACTAAAATGCGCCTTTAATCAAATATGTGATCTTTTTAAAATGTAATCGATTACGACCAATTCGGCGTGATTGACGGACAAACATCCAAACTTTCATATTTATAATATGAGTAGGATAATTTACACTTTAACTTAATAGTTGACAATTTATACTGCTATGTTAAAATTTATATTATTTTTTGTCATTTGATTCTGGTACACCCATATATATATATGTAACATATGTAACATAAACTAACATTTTCTGGTTCTTTTTTAAACTTTAAATTGTAATAACCATTACAATTCATCCAATAAACCTTAAACAAAGCATATTTTTACAACAACAGGTGATAAATACATATTTTGTTCCCGGCATTCACGTGCTTTGTAGTATGTTAATATGGTTAAATGCCTGCAAATATAGTTTTAAATGTATATAGATAACAAAACTGACACTGCCATCGGGCATTTATATATAAATATAATTAACGATACAACTGAATATACCTCGCTTTGAGTATTATTTGCGTGTACCTTCATTTATTCGCTTTTTTTATTCTTATATAAATATTATTATTGATTGTAAAAAGTATTTCTAAGCCGCTAAATTTAAACCTATAAAAGCTGTCGAACATTTGAAGTCGCAAAATATAAGTTGCCCTACTTTGGACATACCGTTCGCGCCTCCTTTTAACGCGCACTCTCACTCATCCAGTCATTGTACGAGGTTGGATTGAAAAGTTCGCGGCCTAAAACATAAATACTTAAACTATTTCAATGTAACTGACCTCATTCGATTAGTTTACTCGCTGGTTGTCAAATTGTAAAATTCTATCGCAATAGCATTAAGTGTATTTAAATTAGACTGGATTTTGTGAGCCTTTCTGCAGCATTTTTAAATAATGAAGAAAATTGAGCAATGTGCGATCATCAAATACCTGTTTAAAAAAAACTAACTCCAACAGAGGTTCAAGAGGATATGTCAACAACTTTGGGGGAATCTGCTCCGTTGTAGACGACTGAAAAAGTGGGTTGCTGATTTTAAACGCCGACGAGAGAGTATTGAAGATGACCCTAGCTCTGGCCGGCCTATGACGTCTACGATTGAAGAAAATGTCGGGAAAATTTATGATCTGATATTGACAGATCGGAGATTGACCATCAGGTAGATTGCAGACACTATTGGCATCTAGTATGAACGAACACAAAACATCATAGTCAATGAACTTGGTTTTTCTATGGTTTCTGCGCGGTGGGTACCCAGATTGCTTTCAGTAGAA